TGGAGGCCCCTCCACAGGGGATGCTCTGAAGCGAAGCCTTTCCTTCAGATACCTGTCTCCTGTGACTGCACTTGCCTGTCCTCAGACAGGAGGCCAATGCTGCCCTCCACCCCCAAAGGGTACATTCTGAGTAGAGCTTTTCTGAGCCTGCTGGCTCCTGTGAGCTAGCAGTGACTCAGGGATGGAGAAGACAGACCACAGAAGGTTCCAATCTCACATGGCTATGAACCTAGAGTCAGGTCTCCAGTCACCTTAGCCCAGTTGCTTCCATCGCAAACTCTCCCCGTTCCTTGAGATGCTGTGGAGCTTTCTACAAGACTCAGAGGCTTCCTATAGCCCGCAGGCCAGGCTCAGGCCATCTCCAATTCTCTCTGAGGAGGAGAGCAGGAAGGACTGTAGAGGCAGCTAGATCCCAGTGGGCACTTTCCTATCCCATCTGTCCACTCTGGCTGGACTCCAGCCCTGCCCTCTGAGGTCACTCCATCCCCCCTCCTTAGTCTCCACACAGCTCACCAGGGCACATATGCAAATGAATCAGTGACCTTTGATTCAATACCTAAAAATGTCAGCTGCCCAAGGACAGTTTTTATCTATTTTATTCACTATTATAGCCCTTGCACCCCAAAGAATACTTGGTACACAGTAGATACTCATTAAATATTTAAATACTTCCTGAATGAATACCCACTGGGCACGTTTATTTACTTTTCTCTATATTAAATATTCACTAGGAAGGGCTGGTGATACCCACTTCTTCACCGATTCAATGGATGTTTATCGGGGTGTCTCCTCACCTCATGTGCACATAGTATGCCATTACGACTTGGAGGATGGGGCTGGAGAGATGGCTCAGCAGCTGAGAACACTGGCTGATCTTCTAGAGGACCCAGGTTCGATTCCCAGCACCCACATGGAAGCTCACAAACACCTGTAACTGTAGTCCCAGGGGGAACCGATGCCTTCTTCCAGCCTCTGTGAGTATTGCATGCATGTGGTGTACACACATATATTCACAAACACTCACACACATAAACAAAAATAAAATAAAAATAAATAAAATCTCAAAAGCAAAAAACAAGGTATTTTATAGACCACTCAGAGGAACCAGGCACAACAGCTAGCACTGGGAAGGTTGAGGAAAAGTCATGAGTTTCAGACCTGACTGTTCTACATAACAAGTTCCAGGCTGACCTCTCAAGGCAAACAGACAGACAGACAGACAGACAGACAGACAGACAGACAACAAGCAAAAACAATTTAGATGAAACGTTCCTTGGCCCAGAGAGGTGGCATGATCTGCCAAGGTCACACAGCCATCTACAGCAAAGGAAGACAGGGCCTGTGGAGCCCAAATATCTTTCCATGACACCATAGACTTGTGATCAGAAGGCAGGACAGCCTGGCAGCACACACACCCAGCCTGGCGCCAGGATACAGGGTACTGTGGGGCCCATACTGAGGGACAGACAAACACCTTACAGCCAGCTGTCTTGAGCAACTGGCCTGACCGCAGCCTGACCTTTTCCAGTTGTCTCAGCTGAGCCAGCCTGGTCCAGGAGATGGCGCTAGCATCCAGCAGGGGCCTGAGCCTCCTCTACCCAGGCCCATAGAGCCTTGGGAGCAAGTCAAGGTATACCCTCTGAATGGACATAACAGGCAGGATATAAGCCATGTTCCAGGCCCTGTGCCAGGGCCTTTTAAATAGTTAATATTCGTTTTAAAATTTAATATAATTTAATAACATCACAACATAGGTCAGATCGTGTAATTCTCAAAACCCAGAGATGCCTTACCATTTTGCTGAGAATAAAGGCACCATGACCCACAAGACACTAGGCCATCTGGCCTTTTCAAGCTATGTGATCCATTTTGCCCTGACTGTGTTCATTCCCGTCAGCCTTGCTGGCCTTCTGGCTCTTTCCAGGATCCTCCAGGTACACCCCACATGGGTTGAAATGATTTGTGCAGCATCCCTCCCTTCCTCGTGCTTTCAAGACTGGCTTGAGACAGGCCTTCACCGTATAGCCAAGACTAGTCTTGAATTCCCATCTTCCTGAAATGCCGGGCCTGCAGGCATGTACCTACAGTCACTCTGATTACCCTATTTTAAAGCACCTCCCCCCACCACATCTGTATCCCCGATTCCCTGCTGAGTCATCTACATAGTATTTCTGTCCTCAGTCTTTACATTTTCTCTGTTGCTCTGTTTGTCAAATGTCTGCCTTTTCCAATATAAGCAACCCCAGGGACTGGCATCTTTGTCTGTTTTTTCCATGGCTATGTTCCTGGCCAATGGAATGGTGCCAGCCTCATAGGAAGAATTCATGAAATGTTTGCTGAAGGAACAAATACACCCCAGGTTTGGCTACCCCCATGCAGAGGTGAGGAAACTGAGGTTTAGAGATGTCACGTGACTTGTCCAAGGTCGCATGGTTCGTCCATTTAACCAACCAACTAGCCAATCAGCCAACATTTGCAGACCGTCTGCTGAATTCCCTGTATGGTGAAGCATGGTGTTAGTTAAATGGCTTTGGGTGGGGTGTTTTGTGCATGTGGTGTGTGGGAGTTGGCATGCAGGTGCACCACCCATGCACACATGTGTAGAGGACAGAAATTGGTGTTGAGTGTCCTTTCCATTGCTCTTCACCTTATATTTTAAGACAGGATCTCTCACCGAATCTGGAACGTCCTAATTCAGGTAGGCTGGCTGGCCAAAGAGGCCCTAGGATCCATCTGTCTCTCCCGCTTAGCGCTGAGGTTAGAGGTACGGATTTTAAATGGCTGCTGGGAGCCTGAACACTCACTCCCATGCTTGCACAATAAGTGCTTTATGACTGAGCAGCCCTTCTCTGCTGATTGTGAGCTTAAAAACAAAAATGAAGCAGTATCTGTCCCTTTGTTCTTGGTGTTCTGTGCATCATGTCTTCCCCCACATTTTTAAACCCTTTTTAGAATTCAACTTACATTGTAGAATTCAATTCATCATTGGAGGTTGGCAGGGACTGGTAGACAAGGTGTGGCTGACTACAAAGAGGACGCACACGTGAATATTTAGGGCGATGGGACTGCTTTGTATGTTCCTAGGGTAGCAAATACACAATTTCATGCATTTGTCAAAACCCAGGGACCTGCACATCACAAAGAGTCAGCTTTAATGTATGCAAACTACATGAAAAGTCATTCCCCAAGGCTCTTAATCTTTATGGACATAATTCAGTGTTTAAATTGTTTCTTCTGTACTGCTCGTCTGGGAATGCAGGCTCACGCTCACAAGCACCATTACACACATGCGTGCCTGCCCCCTCTACACACACACACTTTGACTTCAGTTTCCCAGAATGAAGATGGTTCATTTAACTGTCCAACAAGTCAAGAATGCTTTCCCCATCTCTGAATGACCCTGGCTTTCAGCTGTGCCCAGTGTTCATCCCTTTAGAGCTCATGGTCAGGTCTGGATCTCTAAAGGCATGTGCGTGTTTGTGTGTGTGTGTGTGTGTGTGTGTGTGTGTGTGTGAGAGAGAGAGAGAGAGAGAGAGAGAGAGAGAGAGATTGCAAATGGAACTGAGGGTCTCAGAAATTCTATGCAAGCGAGCCCCCTAATACTGAGATACTCCCTAGACCCTATACTTTAAATCTTTGTTGTTGTTTTGAAATGTAAAATAGTCAGCTGTCAGAAATAACACAGAAAGATCCTGGACACTTCATTTGTATTTTTCCAGGGGTGACATCTTGTACGCCTACCAGGAAAGTGACATTGGCATGGTATTCCAAGCTTATCAGATTTACAGTTTAAAATGCTCTCTTATTTATGTGTGCATCTCCCCAGGGGGATTCTCTCACTATACTAGTGAGAAGAGCTTCTGCACTATTGAGCAAGAGGTCTGTGTAGGTCTCAGGCTAGACTCACTAACTGCTGACCCTTGACCTCTGACCTCCATGTGGGAAGCCTCTCTACCTTGACAGTTTCCCTGCCCTTCCCTGGTGACCTGCCCTTCAGAGTGGGCACAGCTGAGAAAACTGAGCACCTGGAAAGGTAGTGAGGGACAGCAACCTGTGTCTAGTGGCCTGGGCACCTGTCTCTACTCGTGTGTGTGTGTGTGTGTGTGTGTGTGTGTGTGTAAAACCTCCACAACTATGGACAAAAGCTTGCAATCAGTCATAGTGCTTCCTGCCTTCGGAATGGAGCCCCACATTTCAAGCCCTCCAAACCCCTCTTTCACCATATTCTCCTCGTGGTGTCCTTCTGTCTCCATTGCCCTGGCTGCTTTTGCTGCTGGTTACATTCCTAGCCAACTACAGGTAAGGGCAGATTGCTAGAGGATTGGCGGTGACCTGGCCGGTGAAGGTGGGGTGTTGGCAGTAGTGAGTGCAGGACCAGCTAGGAGCCAAAACTCCACCAGAACTCCAGGGTGTGGGTCTTGTTGCTTACCAGCTGTAATGGAGATGCTGGGAGAGCCTTTTTTTGGTCCCTCTGCTCACCTCCGCTGGGGCCTGTTTCTCCATGCACCTCTCAGACATCTCCTCTGGACCTTTCTTCTTCCTCTCCTGCAGCCTAGTGAGGCTGGGGAGCTGGGCTGAAGAAAGGAAGTGGGCCTGAGCCCAGGGGTAACTCGACTCCCCAGCTACCGCTGCCTGGGGGCGGGGGTGAGGGGGACAGACATACCGTGGGGGGAGGAGATTCTTTTAGGCCAGCTCTGGCGATGGGGGCACTGGGAGAGAGAGAAGGAGCCACATGGAGTCCAAGTCCCCTCCTCTGCTACCCCCTCCCTTCACTGCTCATTCGCAACCCGAGCTGGGGGGCCTAAAAATAGTCCCCGAGGCGCAACCGCGGGCGGCCCTGGTGACCTTCTGGGTAGCACAGGCTGCAGGCGGGCGGGCAGCAGGAAGGCCTACCGCCGGCCCCATAGGACCCATCTCTTAAGGCACCATACCCCCCGGGGCGTCCCCCTGGCCACCCAGTTCTAGCGTCCCCTGCCCGTCTAGTCCAGCTCACAGAGGCCATGCAGAAGGGCCGGGGCACGCGAGGCGAGGACGCCGGCACGAGGGCACCTCCCAGCCCCGGGGTGCCCCCGAAGAGAGCCAAGGTGGGGGCCGGCAGAGGGGTCCTCCCCACCGGGGCAGGGGCCGGGGCGCCGGTCTTCCTGCGGCCCCTGAAGAACGCGGCGGTGTGTGCGGGCAGTGATGTGCGGCTGCGGGTGGTAGTGAGTGGGACACCTCAGCCTAGCCTCAGCTGGTTCCGGGATGGGCAGCTCCTGCCCACACCGGCCCCAGAGCCCAGCTGCCTGTGGCTGCGGAGCTGCGGGGCACAGGACGCCGGCGTGTACAGCTGCAGCGCCCAGAATGAGCGTGGCCAGGCCTCCTGCGAGGCTGTGCTCACTGTGCTGGAGGTCAGAGGTAATGCAGAGGTGGGGCCTGCCTGGCAGGGCTGGGGGCACAGGGGTAGAGACAGCGGCCCAGGCCATGCAATGCAGGTTGCAGTCCCTCACCACCTTCCCAGGTGTCCAGTTTTCTCAGCTGTGCCCAATGAAGGGCAGGTCAACAGGGAAAGGCAGGGAAAGTATGTCAAGGTAGAGAGGATTCCCACATGGAGGTCAGAGGTCAAGGGTCAGCAGCTAATGGGCCTAGCCTGAGACCCACACAGACCTCTTGGATGATAGTATGAAAGCTCTTCTAACCTAGTAGAGAGAAACCTCCTGTGGGAGAATTGCCCTCTTCTGCTCCAATGACAGACTTGAGACCTGGTGACCAGCCCCTCACAGATGTGTGTGTGTGTGTGCTTCTGAAGGGGCCATGGGAGGAGGATGGCCAGACCTTCTCTATTGAAGATCAACTCTGGGACAAGGATGGTGTGGTCAGGATCAGGCAAGGTGGAAGGGGTCAGATGTGTATGAATAGGGTCCAGCGCCTCAGCAGATGGAACTGAGGCTAGACATGAGAAGTGGCTGCTTGGGAATCCGTGTGCATTGCATGTCTGCCTGTGATGTGTGTGTCTCAGGCATTTGTGAGTTGTGGGAGGCTCCGGACTCTGGGGTGTTAATACAAATATGCAGAATGAGGGTAGACGGAGATGGTATTGAAAGCCTGTGGAACATATAACTACTAAGGTTCCCAGGTGAGTGTCCAGGTGACATGCTTTGGACCGATGTCCTTGCTATTGTGAGGGCAGAGTTCTAGGATGAGGTACTGAGGCCTGGAGAGGAGAGGAGCAGAAGCCTCACTCAGTCCTGTAGTATGGTCCTGTTGTAGCTGGTGGGGGGTGTCAGGCCAGGTTGATAGTCCTTGGGTCAATTTGGGGGTTTCCTGTTTTTCAGTTTCTGAGCCAAACAGTTCTCTAAACCAAAGACAGTCTTGGACCTACAAAGCTTTGAAAAATGGAATTCTGAGGAGTAGGTTTCATTTGGTAGAGATGCAAAGGGCTGGGGGCAGAGGGCAAGTGTCACTGCTTTGGTCATTTGCTGAGAGACATCTCATTCCACTCGATGGTAGAGGACCTTCTCTATTGAAGATCAACACTGGGACAAGGATGGTGTGGTCAGGATCAGGTCTTTGGGACCTGGAGAGGAAGTCCAGAGAGGAAAGACCCCAGCAGGTGGAGGGGAAAGAAGGCTGGAATCCAAAGTACAGTCAGGTGTTGGAAGAGTCTCTCTCTCTCTCTCTCTCTCTCTCTCTCTCTCTCTCTCTTCTCTCTCTCTCTCTGTGTGTGTGTGTGTGTGTGTGTCCTCTCTCCCTAGCTTCACACTGCCCATTTCCTAGAGTCTTCTTGTGGTCACAGTGGCCAGACCTGGCCTACAGAAGGCCAAGGGTGGCTTCCAATTGGCCTACAAGCTGCCAGTATAGACTTCCTTAACCTGGGTCTAGGGGCTGGAGCATGCTCTGGAAGAATTCTGAGCTGAAGGAGTAGATTCTTGCAGTTTTTATTTACCTATAGTCGGGAGTAAAAGAAGCTGAAAACGGACTGTAACTCAAAGATTAAGGTAGATAAATTAATAAGAATGCACCTGGGAGGAGAGAGAGAGATGAGATCAGGAAAAGGGAAGGCAGAGGAAGAGAGTGGTGGTCATAATGCTTGTTAGATGTTGGACAGGTCCACAGAGAACTGATGCTCCGAATGCTTCCTTGGACAGGTAAGAACAGTGTGGGCAAGAGAGGAAGGAGGTCTACACGGCGTAAGGGCTGGTTATGATGTACCAGGACTGCAATCCTGTTCCATCCTGGTGATCTTGGGGGCCTTTCTACTACTCAAGACATTCTGTGGGAGGGAAAGAGAGAGAAAGAGAGATTGTTCAGTGTCTTAGAATTCGCTACTAATCAGTTGGCCTGGCTTGTCACCTGTGAAGACAGGTTACCTCTAACCCGCAGCAGGGCTGTTTCCTTGCTGCTTTTGAATCAGGGTGGTATACTGGGCAGAGATAAGCCTGGACTGGACATACCTAGACATAGGGGTACAGTCTCCTGGCTGTCTTGGTGAACAGTGGGGACTGGAGTGAAGAAAGGCCTTGAGAGCTGCGGACCTGGGTTTAAGGCCTCCGACATTCACATTAGATGGGAGGAAGGGACTGAGCTGAAGCATGTTACCTTTGAGCACATACCCAGATGTACAGATACAAAGTGGCAAAAAGTTCTGCTGGGTGGGGGTGACTTTGGTGATTGTTGGAGGGTTAACTAGATGAGTCTGGCTTCTGCCCCTTCTATTAACCATCCCTCACATCCCTGCTCAGTGACAGCTCCTGGTCCAGGGAAGCTGAGCCAACAGCTCAGCATCACTCAGACTTCAAAGAAAACGCTCTTATTTGGAATCAACAGCAGAAACATTCCAGGAACCTGAGGAAGCCAAGCAGGGACCTGGCTACAGAAGGAAGGAGCAGTTTCCTGGCCATGACTGCTTTCTGGCTGGATGAGACAGGGCGATCTGAAGGCTCCTGGCACTCTAGAAGCCTGGGATGTTAGTTCAGGATGGAAGGGTCTTGGCAAGACCCTGGAAAACAAGTCTGCTGCAGGGTGAGAGTTTTGTAGAATGGGAAAACTCAGGTGGTAAAGGCAATAGGTTTAGAGTGTTGCAATAGGAAATAAAGAAGGTGGAGTGTCAGAAATTTGGGATGCTGGTAAAATCCTTAACATGTATTAAGGCATGCTATCTCATTTAATTATTTGATTAATAATCTCTGGTTATTATTGGACTTTATTAATATATAAAACAGCCAGGACTGAGGTAGCAGGGTTAGGTCTGGAAAGCTGGGACTTTGAGTCTGGTCCTCATTGCCCAGCCACAGAAAGAAAGGTGAGGACTACCTTTCTCCTGACAATAGCCCACTCCTCCTCCAACCCACCTCTAACACAGGTGAGCATTCTCTTTAGAAATACCTGGCTTCCATCCTTACATGGCTCCTCAGCAAGTGACCAGAACAAGTCTAGTGGTGCACTCAGATCACGGTGCATGTGTGGTTTAGGAGGAAGCCTTCTTGCACTGCAGGGCAAGGGGGTACAGAGAAGCTGAGAGAAGGGGCAAACAGGGGGAGCTGGTATGTGTTAGTTGGAACTTTATAGATATTGGTGTTAATCAGAAAGGCCAGTGGTTAATGGATGGCAAAAAACCATCCAGGGTACTTGAAGGCATGAAAGAGAGGTTAGATAGAATGAGGGACAGGTTAGGCCAGGAAAGGAGAGGAATACAGCAGAGCCCCCCCCCCCCCCAGGAAGGACTGTTCTATAGCCACCATCTTTTCCACCTGGACTTGGACAGTCTGTATAAAAAGCCATAAGAAACTACTGCGGAATTGGAAATGGGAAAAGAGTGTCACCATCCATGTGTGCATAGCACAGCAAGTGCCAATCAGAGGGAGGAGGAGGGGCCAGAGTGGAATCACAGAGGAACCCTGGGAGGTTCCGAGGGAAAAGAAGAGCAGAGAAACCGCCCCCACTTTGCTGATTGGAGCAGAACGGTGGATAGTCACTTCTCCAACAGTTTTTTTGGGAATGAGCTGGGGCAGGAGAGAGGAAGGAAAGGCTGGATGAAGGGGGCTGTTCTAGAAGATTCACCACCAGTTCCCTACTGTGCCTTATCTATTGCTCACCTGCAACTCACTCCTGTGCTTACGGGGTGTCTCCTCTGTACCAGTTTTCCACCATTTTGAGTGCTTAGGGTACATAACAGGGTGTGTGTGTGTGTGTGTGTGTGTGTGTGTGTGTGTAGAACCCAAAGCAATGACCAAAAGCAAGGAGAAACCGACAAAATGAGGCACCATCCCCTGTACAGTAGGAGAGCAACAGAGCAGGGTTGGAGGAAGAGAAAGAGAGAAGCTGAACAGTGGCAAGGAAGGAAGGTGGAGGAAAAAAGGGATGCCCATGGCTCAGAGGAAGGTCTGCCAGGAGGACAAGGCAGGCATGATCTTTTAAGAGTTTGGGGGGCTAAAGGGAATGCTGGCAGGGCTGAAATGGGGAAGGAGCAGAGTAGCACAGATGCTCTGCCATGAAGGAAAAAAAAAATGGGGGCGGGGTTCTTGCTTCGAGTGATCCCTCCCCAGCCAGGCCAGTCCTTCAGGTTGCTGCAGACTCAAGGCAGGAACACAAAATCCTGCCAGTCACTCTTCAAGCCCAGCTGTCCCATCACTCACGCCTTCTGCCCATTGGTTATTTTTGCTATGGAATGTGCCAGCCCCTCGGATTCTCCTGGGGAACAGGGGTTCATGTTACCCCCTCTGTCCACTCAGCTCCTCCATCTGTGAGATTGTGTATTTGGGGGTGTTCAGGGTCATTGGACTGGAACTACTATGGACAGACAAGTGTGCCCTCTCAATGCACATTTCTACACGGGTTCCCAAGTGTACCGTTAGCCGCTTGTCTGAGAAACAAGAATACCTATATGTAGCCAGAATGTAGGAGGCAGGATTTTAAGCCCCCCAGGTATGATGGTACATGCCTTTAATCCCAGCACATGAGAGGCTGAGTTTGAGGCCAGCCTGGTCTACATAGTGAGATCCAGGCCTGCCAGGGCTATAAAGTGAGACCCTGCCTCAAAACAAAACAAAGCATAATAATAATAATAATAATAATAATAATAATAATAATAATAAATCTCAAATGTAAACAACTACAGGAGTCAGGTAGAAACAAAAAAAATGAGGGAGGTACCATTGTCAGCAGTTGAATGTGAGTGTGTTGTCTCACACTAAACTAAACCAAACTCATTGGGTCTGTCTCCGAATTTATTTCAGTGCCAAGGTTTTAAAGCAATAAGGTCAGGAGACACATGGACGAACCAGCATGTGGTTCTTTATGGCATAATGGTCAATAATGTACTCAGAGAACCCAGGCTCCCTCAATTTATTAGTCTTGCAACCTGGGACAAGTAATTGCTTTGTGCCTCTGTCTTCCTCCTTATGGGGACTAAATGAGTTGCTCACACAGAGTCCTCAGCACCATGCCTAGTGTAGACCAAGCAGGCAGTAAATGTTAATAATTAGTACTGTAGTCATAGCCGGGGACTGGCACCGCACCGGTGCATTCTGGGATAAGGAGACCTGTAGTGGTAACAGTTCTCTTAGCCTCAGCCACTTGTGAGTTAAATGCGGATGGGAATACTCCTAAGAGTTTCAGGCTCCTGGGGTTGTTTTGAATGAACTGGCATTTGTAAAGTGCCAGACACTTGGCAAAAGCTAATGAAACCTAGCTACATTATTACTAAGAAGGGAAGGTACAACTTTTTTGAGATGGCAATGCGTTGGCTGTGCTGAATAAGGTGGACGGGCAGTGGGGGAACACACCAAAACTCTTGTGAGATATAAGTTGACTTTGATTATTAAGGGTACTTATGAGCTCCTTAGCCTGCGCAGTTGTGTGTGTGTGTGTGTGTGTGTGTGTGTGTGTGTGTGTGGTGTAGATGGATGGATGGGAGGGAAGCATCCAGAAATTCGAGCCCAAGAGAGGAGGAAATCCCTTTTTTACTGTCCTGAGGAGCCTGGGTCCAAGTCAGCACATAGCCCCAACCCAAGGATCTTTGTGCTGAGTATGACCTAGGCGCCCCCACCCCGCGTTGTGCTCGGAGGTGAGTGGGGTGCTGTCTGACAGTATGCGTGTGCGCATGTTTGCGGACTACGCTAGAGAAGATGCTGATGACCTTCCATAGCCAACCTGCTGGAGGAAAGGGGATGCGGCGTGGAGGCCTCCTCTCGCTACCAACGAAAGTGGCCTGAACTGGAGGCTACTGCACGCCTTTCTGTGCCTCAGTTTCCCCATGTGCCCAGGGCCCGAAAGGCAGATGTGGGGTGGGGGTGCTGGCTGTCAGTGTCGAGAGGTGTTCCGCGGGGGAGGTGGAAGGCAGACGAGTACTGCCCCAGGGTGGGTAGAAGGGCTGCAAAAGGAAGGGTCGCCAGGTAGGGCTCAGGCTGGCGGAGGAGGGGCGGGCTCTGGGCGCA